TACGAAAAAATCAAGCTGCTTCACACCAATATTTACAGAATTTACATAGTGTATAGTATAGTACACGAAAAAGTTTTACCCTGTAGGATTCTGTTTCGAATTATTCAGATCAATATTGACATAGACAAGCAAAATATTAACATTTTATTCATTAAAAATCAGGAATTTAATCTCGTAAAGTGTATAGTCATCACCTAGTGTTAACAAAAGTCAATCAGATTTGCATCTATCGGTGTTCTTGAAATTTTTTATTCATATATTGAGCATTTCAAAAAGTTTTTTAATGTTTTGTTTTTATTGTGTTTATGACTAGCAGAAAGAAATATGCACTAGTCTCAGAACAACTGTTGATCTAGTGCTTTTTGATAACCAAACCAAAGAACTTATAGGGATAAAGAGTAGAAAAGAAAAATAAATTATGGCTTTGGTTCTCTCTTCAATATTTATTCTTTTTTGTCTTTTATTATTCAGCGTCAAAGTTTTCAAACGAAATGGGTGCTGAATGGAGTCATCCAAACAGCAACTATATCGACAATTATCGAGAAGATCGACATAAACATCGGCATCAAGAAAAAAAGTGTTATGCATGCAGAGGCGTCGGAACAATTGATGTCGAAGATAACTGTCATCGCTGTCAGCGTCGTGACAGAACATGGTCTGAATATAGCTCAAGATGTTCATGCAATGGTTATGATCGTCGACAAATTACGAAAAGATGTGAGAATTGTTTCGGTAAAGGTTATCGATAGGCGCGAACTTCGATCAAAACACAGACAATTTTTATGCAATATTACGCATCTATTTAAAAGACTTTTCTTGAATAAATCATTTTCTGTTTTTCCTCTAATACTTTTGTTGCCTTGTATACAAAGAATTGGTGAAGTCGTAGCGTGTTCTTGTTCTTTATCCATGTTACTCATTGCGTCTTCATAGTAGGTGATTTACACAGATGCAATGATTTTTTTTAAATAGTGTCGTTACAATTATGTTTCTTTTTTTTTCTTACTATGATTTTGTATACTCAAAAAACTGAACATACGCCAATACTTTTGTCAAAGTTTTATCAAAGCTAGAAAATTTTTCCTACAATGAGGAAGAGGTCCCTTTAGAAATAACCATGACAAACTAGTGATGATTGATAATCAGTGTCAATGTGTTGCTATCAAGTATCTACGGTCCTCTGTAAATTCCTTGCATTTTCTATCAAATATCTAACTTCTCATAATGTAACACATGCGTGAGTATGCATTAGAAACTATAACAAAAGTACATGTGCATGAACATTCAACATTTTCTTGTGTAGACAAAATTTTAATCATTTTCACAAATAATTGAATGATGATAGTAACATTTGGATATTTGTTTTTTTTTTATTGTTGTATGCCTTACATGAACCGTCACGAATATCTATAGACACATACCAGGAATAGATAGTCAACTACAATAGAGTCTAATACCAAAAAAATTAGACCCTGGTATGTTTTTTAACTAGAAAGAATGGTTTCACCATGATCAAGGAGCTTGCTGTGACTGTTCCTAATACTTTCAATCGATTTCTCAGTTCAACCACAGAGAACATTATCCATCGAAATTAAAGAAAAATTTCATGCTCGGCCGACTGAAATAATACTGACAAGAGCGGTCACGGTTTGAAACAGTTTTAGAAATTTTTACTGAAAAATTCAGAATTCATTATGAATAAAATGAGAACAAACTTGTTTTTTTTTTTGTTATAGTAGTAATGGAAACAAAATTATTCCTTATTTTTGACTGCGTCGTCGAAGGCGGTAAATTTGCAACATATCGTTGAAAAATTTTGACTAGGAAATAAAAATTTAGTAAAATAAAATTAGTATTTGCTTTTCCTAGTAATATCGACAGTAATTGATCCGTTATATTGCGGAAGATTTCAAAATCGTTTTCATACACATCACGCTACGAGAACAACTTCCATCAAATTCTATTGTCTTAAAAAAAAGCTTTGTCATCATTCATATCGAATTTTGAAAGTACTAGTGTCAGCGGATCAGTATATAGATACCATCATTGGAGGAAACTTAGCCATTCTCAAGTAGCTTGCCCGCAAAAATTATTCTTTTGCTTCTTCATTGGTATGGAAGTGCGTTTATAGATAGTCCACTTGACTTGTGTCACTGTGTCATCATAGAAAATATTTAAACCAATGACTACACTTCTCGCCAGTAGTAGGGCATTGACACAAACACGCGATATTTTTCACGGGAAGCGTCAGGCTATATAACGATGCAAATAGTGCTTTTATCCTTAATATCATAATCTGATGCAAGAGTATGCTCATCCTCTAGTGTCCGACCTTCGAACATTAAAAATTGATCGTACGATGGTATATTTATGTGCTGTGAAATTCCGTCTTTGATTTATTTGATGGTAGAGAATAAGTCAATATTGACTAGCAATGATTTACTTGGAAAAATTTTCGGAAAACATTGTTTGGTTCGAATATGCGTAATAAAGATATGCATTCCTAACCTATAGACACAATATTTGATTTCAATATTAACATTTCTAACAAATCTATAATACTTTAGTTGGAACGTCTGAGTTCCTATTTGATTTATTGAAGCTTAGAGAATGATGTATGTTGCGACAATTTTTTCTCTAACAATATTTAATAATCATCCTTACAGCACTGTCTAAACTTCAGTTGAAACAAATGTTCTCTTCATGATATACTCGATTTTCAAGATATCGCTAGTTTTTCAAACATTTTGAAATGATAAAAACGTTTTGTGAAAATTAAGTACCGTGTAAAAATAAAAAAACATTCATGTTGGCTAAAACTTTGAAGGTATTCTCAAGAGGGAAAGATTTTATGCATGAGCAAAATTTAAGCTTGAAATTTGATTATCCGATTTTTGTGCAAGCACCTCATATAAACGAAAAAATTCAGTAAATTGATCATAAATCGAGAAATAAAAGGTTAGATGTTCAAATCTGTTGAGAATTTTACTCATCTCCTGAAGATCGATACATGAAAACAGTATCAAATCAAAAGTAATTTTATACCTTGCAAATTTACTCAGTCAATATTTTTTTTTCGATTGACAGCAGTGCTTCGGAAAAACAATGTGATCTACTATAAATTAAATGAAATGTTGATAGTCTTGTTGAGATGCTAAATAACTAATAGATAACATGTTTTTATCTTTTAAATAATGTATAAGTGTCTTAGTGATAAGCAGAATGATATTATTCATTGTCTAATGCCGAGTAAGCGAATAGCAAAATGGTGCAATATTTATTATATGAATCATACAATTTCACAATCAAATCAGTTATATAAATCATCAAAATGCTACTATTTTCGAATATATTATCATGAGAAGCTAGAAAAAAAAAATATGTCTCAGTTTATCATGCCTTATCGGTAATAATATAGAGAGACAATAAGTAAAACTGAATCACTGAAAAAAAATACCAGTGAATGAAAATGAGTAAGAAAGATAACATCAAAACCGAAATCTATGGCACTTGTGTCATTGAAACTATATTTTTCCATTGTAAGCAATGGAACTTAAAGAAAAAAGTCCAGTATGAATCATAAAACAAACTTCTTATATTTGCAGCTGTAAGTAATTTATCCTTCTACAATCTACTTTTTATTGCTAACAACTAGTGACTCCACAGCTGAGACTCGTACTCTTTATTTGAGAAAGGAAACACACATAGATACTCATATATGTTATTCTAAATCTGAAGTCAATCGAAAACATATCATAGCCACATTCACACCCAAGTCGTAACGCGGCCATTTGCGTATCTCTGATATATATATATAACATGAAAAGTTTTGCTTGTTTTATTTTTTTTGAATAAATTTTGATAGGAATATTGTAGTGATCGGTAGTTTTTACCATTCAAGAGAAATAATCGGAGGTTATCGAAATCGGAGTGGTCATTAATTGAGCAGTCAAATGAATTCTTAGTAGAGATTTTTGAAAACGATATTCTGAAGCTTTTTTCCTTTCAATTTGGACTTTTAATAGAAGTAGTCGATAGAAAAAAATAATTCTCGTGTTATCTACGATAAACCGAGATCACTAGATTGTTCTATTCGAAAGTTGTAAGACTTTTCCTGAAACTCTATGATTACGTAGACAAGTAGCTACTCAAGGGTGGGTGATTCACTAATATTGAGTCGAATGGAGATGTTTACTTTTAGCTTCGAACTTATCTGAGTCACTTACCTCAACATTTCTGAAAATTCACAGTTAGTAGACTTCATGTAACAAAAGAGTTATCATTTCAGAAATATTCATATAAGAGTATCAGATCATTTTGAAGGGAGACCGGAATTTCGGCCCAAGGAATTTTCGGCCCAGAGCCTAACTGTCTTCAGGATGACGTTAGGATGTGAGGGTGATGGTCAAAAATTCTGGGCCGAAAATTCCGTGGGCCGAAATTCCTGTAACCCATTTTGAACCTAACTGTAAACATCCAGTGATTTATCTACTGGATGAGCCCCGCCCACCCGAAATTTCGACTCGCCCACTCGGGAAACGAAACCTAGATAAACACACTGTAAATATCACCATATAACTCAACATGTTCAATAATTTCTGTCTGATTGGTGTTGCAGTGATGCATATGTCAACTGACTGATAAAATCTGATCAATGGTGACATCTATGAATATATGTATATCGTCACCGATCGAGAACAAAAGACAATGTACTAATCAAGAAAATTGATAAGAAAATAGATAACCAATACGTCATATTTATTTACTAATTCAAATCTTCTTTTGTTTCAAATTTTCAAAAAAAAAAAAAACAATTTCATGAATATCTTAATCTTTTAATAGAATCAAAAATATTAGATACAAAAAACAAAAAAATTTTTTTTCTTATTCTAGATATTTTTAAAAGAAAAATAAAACAATCAAAATCAAGAAATTTATCATAATCTTTTATTTTTCTTCTATCTTCTATTTACAAACATATATTTGTATGAAATATAAACATGTCTTGGAATAGAACATGTTGTATGCCAACAACATCATCGTCTACTAGTAGTAGTTCGTCAGTAACATTTTCATTACCGCCCTTGCCACGCAACTATGACATACCACCGCCACCAGCATCATCATCATCATCGTCTTCATTTTTCTTTCTTCCTTCATCTGATTACATTGACGAACAAACTACAAGAGAACGAGAAGAAAACAATTCATTACCTCCACCACCACTGCCGCCACCACCACTTTACAATTATCATCATCTTTATTCTCCTATCATTTCTTCACGTGTCAATACATCTGCCGATACATGTTTATGTAATACTAATAATAATTATTCATCTCAAATATCATCATATGATCCATCTTCATCATTTCAATCTCCATTTATATATGAACAATATTTAACATCATTAAAAAGTGAACAATCTGATCATTTACCATATTTATTTGATAATATTATTTATCCACAACCATGTTCACCACCATCACCAACAAATGATTCCATAACATATTATCAACTTGATCATACTAATACAACAACAACAACAACAACAATAAATAAATTTCCACAACATTCACATATACAAATAATTCAACCAATTACTTATCAACAATTATCACTTATTGAACCACCATCATCAAATATTCAACAAAAATTACCTATTGTTAAACGTTTCTATTATGATTCAAATATGTCAAATACAACAACAACAACTATTATGACAACAACACCTATAATAACAACTTCAAATGAAAATGATCATTTAAATATACCTTATGGACGTCTTGAATCAACTTATTTTGGTACATATGATATTTGGCAAGAAAAAACAATTATTGGAAGAAAAAGTAATCGATGTAAAGTCGATGTTAATATTGGTATGTAATAAAATACAATTATAAAAGATATCAAGAAAGGATATAGATCATATATACGAACATAAGAAAAATCGTCTTCATATCTATCTATAAAATCTTGATTTTTTGTTTTTTATCAAGATTTTCAAAAAAATAATACATATCAATGAATATGTATATATTTAACATGGAAATATCTTTTAGATTTAAAATAAAAATAATAAATTCTATAAAACTCATGATGTATAGAATTTCATAATTGAAATATTATTTTCGAATTACATAAAAGAAACAAAAATTTAATCTCATTTAAAAAGTTTCATTTTCCATTCAATTGTATTCAATCAACTGAAATTATCATAACAGATAAATCTCGAATAGTAGAGTAAACGTTTTTAAAGACTCGAGTTTCCTTCTATAAAATATAAGAGTTCAAAATGGGCCTAATTTTCACTCCCATTTCGTCGATATACTAGCTGCGAATGAGCTGATTCGTTTTTTTTTCTTTTTATTAAAGATACTTTTCTCGAAATATAGTAAATTAAAATACGTAGGGCATTTTGATTTAAAGCTTATTGTTTGAATAGGATATTTTTGGAAAATGTACAAAAAAAGAAGATCAGAGATAGGGATGTACGAAGACCGAGCCTCTCGGTCGAGACCAACTGAGACCGAGAGTCCCGGTCTCGGTATTAATGAATATTGGTCTCGAGTACAATTAACTTCTTATTCGTTCTTTATTCTAGGTAAACATTGTATTCACTCTCGGTCGAAATTATTATTTTTTTCAGTTTTTCGACCGAGAGTCTCGGTCTCGGTACATCCCTAATTAGAGAAGTAATATATATTTTTGAAAATCAAAACAAATATCTATTACGAAAAATTTCAGTTCGATATGTCTTGAAAAGTTGCATTTATTTTTTTTTTTTTTTTCATAAAATTATATTAAAATTTTTTTACATCTTCTCGAAGTATGTTATGTTGAAAGATAAGTTTCAAGTATTTGAAAATTTTGAGATTTGAAAAGTATAGAATAATCTTTAAAGAAAATGAATATCTTTTAATATATTATCATTAATAATTTATTTTTCTAGATTCAATTTCAGTTGTTTCTCGTATTCATTTTGAATTATTACTTATTAATGGTAATGAATTTCATTTAAAATGTTTTAGTAAAAATGGAATTTTTGTTAATAATAATTATACAAAAATGTCTTCAACAACTATTTTACCTAAACAGTATGATTTATATATATTTTTATTTCTAATAATAATTTATTTTTTTTTTAGATGTATTCTTCGTTTTCCAAGTACAAATTTATGTATTTCATTTTCATCATTACTTAATAATAATTCAATAAATCGAACATTAGTTGAAAATATTTCACGTCATATATCAAATGATTCATTACAACATCAAGAACATTTATTATCAACATCAATACCAATTGATATAACATCTTCAATATCTCATCAATCAGTTCCAAATATAACACCACAACAACAAGTTATTTTTGTTGATATTAATCAATCAACTCAACAAATATTTAATCATGAATCAAATAATAATCTTCCATCATTAACAATTAATATACCAAATTCATTATCATCAACTGATTCATCAATTTCAGCTGGTAGTAGTACTGAACATATAAAATTTCAATATGAAAGTCCAACAGCAAATAATAATTCTTTTCTAGGGTAAATTTTTAGTAAAAATATCACAGTTTCTTTTTTTGTTTTTGTTTTTGTTTTTGTGTGTATTTTCATTCTATCTAAATAAAACTATGATTTCTATACTATTTTGTTTTTTTTTTGTATATCTAGTTCATCTATTTCATCTTGTTCAACAAGTCCAAAAAATGAACCAAATGAAAATCAAGCAATAATTAGGTAGAAGAAATCAAAATTATATTGTAAAAAAAAATAATTTTAATCTATTTTAAAAGTTTAACTTCTCCAATCGTTCAACGATTTTCATCAACTAATATTGATAATATTCAACAAGAAAATGATAATAATAATAATAATAATTCAAAAATAATTACTAAACCACCATTTTCATATGCTCAATTAATAGTTCAAGCTATTTTATCTGCACCTGATAAACAAATGACATTAAGTCAAATATATAATTTTATATCAGCTCAATATCCATATTATGCAGCAAATACTCGTGGTTGGCAAGTAAGTTTTTTTTTTTTTTTTGTTTCAAATAAAAAGTTCTTTCTTTTCTTTTTGTTTGTAATATTTAAATTTCAGAATTCAATACGACATAATCTTAGTTTAAATCGTTATTTTATTCGTATTGCACGTAAAGAAAATGAATCTGGTAAAGGAAGTTTTTGGCGTTTAGATCAAACATGTGAAGAAAAATTAATTGATCATGCATTTCGACATCGAAAACAACGTAGAAATTCAATAAATACATCAAACAATTCAACTATTAAACATGAGTAAAATCTTTATTCTTAATCATTTTTACAAAAAAACAAAAAAATTCAACTTTAGATCTGAAGAAACACAATATTGTAATGATCAAACAGATTTTTTATTAGCTGATCTTCATACAAGTAATCCATCGACACCATTATCACCAATGACAAGTCCATTAACAACCATTATATCACCTATACAACAATGTGAAAATTATAAACGTAAACGAAATGATGATGATGATGATGATGATTTAATTGATTATGAAATAGAAGATCTATTAAATTCTCTTATAGAATCTATTGATAATAACATAATATTATTGTCTGATAAAACAATTAAACGTCAAAAAACGTAAATCAATTGTTTGTTTTTTTTTTATTATAATTATTATTCTGTTTATGTTGAGATGATGTTCTTTTGGTTTTTTGTTTTCCGAAACACATGACTTATTGTTGATTATTAAGTATTCTTTTTTTTCTTTGCTCTACTTTCTTTTGTATCCGAGTGATGTGATGACAGATGTTGTTATAAACGAAAGCTCTTTTTTTTGTTGTTTGTCTTGTTATTTTATAAACCTGAAAGTTATTTGATTGATTTTCTAGAAAAAGAAAAAAAAATTAAAAATCGATATATTTAACAAAACTGTTAGATTTTTAATAGAAATGAAAGAACATTTGATGAAGTACTCTGATCAGATGTACATATTCGATTTTTCTTTTGCCTGTAGATACTCCATAGTGTTCTAATAAAAATCAATGTCTTGCATGGATATGACGCTTTTAATATACAGATTCGGACTGAAGCTAATCGACATACGACAGATACTTTTATAGTCATAGTAGAATTTTTCGAATTTATGAACAAGCATACTATTTAGTTTTTTTATATAAATAGCAGCAAAAAAGAAGAGATCATCTCAAGTTTGACAAAGAAAAAGAAATTGATTCAGGATTTATTTGATGTTTTTCTGCTTCCAATTTCTGATAAATCTCGCTAGATAAATACTTTCTCTATCACAAATGATTTTAGATCATGTGCTAGCATTCATAAAAACTTTAGAAAAAAGATTTTAGTTCCTATTAAAACTGAACTAAGCTATGGAAATTTGAATATGTTCTACTTTTCTAAAGGCTATAGATTTTCGCAAAAAATTTATACTTTCAAATTTTAATCTGAAACTTTGTTCATATAGAAAAATCAACTGAACTGATTTCTATAAAAATAAAATCAGGGCTGGCCCGATAGGGGGTTGTGACAACCCCCCCAATAATCAAAAATTTTCGTTTTTCCCCAGCGAAAACGAATGTTTTTTCTTGAGTAGTGCTAGAAAAAAGTTTTATTCGCATTGCAAAATCCGGAACAACCCCCGCAATGTTTGCTGACTCGGGCCAACCCTGAACAAAATCATATTGTATATATTATCTACGGAGAAGTGTCTCCTTTTAGAGTTTTGATTAGAATACTATGTTGTATTTATAGGTAAAAAAAAACAAACAATCATTGAAACCACAAGGAAACATTTGAGGAGGTGTCTTCGTTAACCAATCGACTTAAGTCTCTGTAATCATAACGATAAAAAAAAAAATTTTTTTCTTGTTTGTTAAGTCATATTGACATAATCAGTATTATTTAATATAATAATGAATATTTCAGTTCCAAAATAGATTATCATCTGATAATTTATGATTAAATATATGGACGGAAATGGTTTCGGTAAAAAGTATAATTATTCACATAATAATTAACATGGCTATACAATAATAACATTAAATTGAAGTTATAGATAAAATTTATATTACTGGAAATCCTTTCGTGATTCAATTAATCGGTCTAATACATATGTTTCTATAATATTTTCCACTATCAATCTCTATATAACTCTATTTTTAAAATATAAAATAGATCGTCTACTCATAATTCTATCATTAATCTCATTATAAGTATTTTATTTCTCATAAAATGTGTTTAGATGAATTTTAAATAAAACTTATTACAAGAAAAAAAAAGTTAATCATTATGAAGAGAAAGATTTGATTTTAATAGTTATTTGTAGCAAAAAAACTAACATTTCTTCTATATAAAATTTCAATAAGTATGAAATCAGTTTCTTTTTTTTTTGTTTGTATAAGAAAAAAATAATATTTAATTCTTAAAAATCAAATATGAATTTCATTTGTAAGTTTTCTTTTAAAAATAAGTCTTAGTGAATATCAATAAAAGTTGAATAGCCTTTCGTTAATTAGAAATAACTAGTAATCTTCTATTACTATCATGCTTATGAAAACAAACAATAGATTATCTGTTAGAGAACAACTATCCATATATTGTGATCGAATAGCAATCAGAAAATAGCCAACCGTTCGAGTTTCAAACTACAGTCGATACACCCATACGGTTTACCGATAGGATTTTTTTTTCGGTTTGAATGACGTGGACATTTTAAGGTGGTGAAGAAAAACATTTCATAATAACGGAGTTTTTACTTTGTTTTTCTATAATGTTAAGTAATTAGCTTCAACCGAGAGGATGATTTTAGTAGTAAATTTATATGATAGTTCTTTTAGGTTCCAGAAGACTAACATTTAAAACAAAAAATACAAAATACGTCTAATACTCATTTTGTAATTTTTAAAATAGGCATCATTAAACAAAAAAAAGAGAAGTCTTCTCGGATCTGAAAATGATCATGTTTTGCAATCATAAGTCATCTATAAAATTTGAATATAGAATCCATTAGATAGAAAAATTCATTAGTTTATTATCATTTTTTATCTCTATTTGAGATAATTGTCTAATATAACAGGAACAAAAAAAAAATGCAAAATATGTTGTTTTTAAACTTTTTTTTTTCATTTGTTTTAAAAGTTCGCTTGATAAACTAACAAAAAATCATTGATTTATGTAAATCTACTTTGAATTGAAACTTTAAACTCGTTTGAATGAACTTTATCACATCTGCTATTCTCAGTGATTATTATATTATCTTAAAAAACTTTTCAATTATGCATAGCCCATAGTCTTTGTCTTCTGTCAATCCTACATAATCCTAAGATTAAAATATAAATCTATTTTTTTTTCTTTAAATTAGCAAAATGAGATCTAAAAGAATTTTCTATATATTCGATTGTTTAAATCATCATTATAGTATTGGTAAGTTGCAAAAAAATCTAATAGATTCGGAATCTACATGAAGAATTGAGTCGAATAAAAAAAAAAAGTTTTCTCTCATTTCCGAAGATTTTAAATTTTGGATTTCAGATCAAGATCATTTCTATATGTAATGAAAAATTTTGTTTTTGTTAAAAATGAAAAGAATTTTGCATTTTATGTACCTACGAGTAAACGTATAACCTTAATTAATTTTATTGAATATTACAAAACTAAAATCTCTACAAGAATATTGAATATATTTTATTGTACTCGAAGATAATAAATCAACATGATTTGAAAGCTTTTTTTTATTTTTATTTTCTAATTTCTTTTTCGAGACATCATGGATTAGATTAAATTCTTGATTTTTCAAGAAAAGTTTGCATTGAAACTTCGATTCTTTTGTCTATCTTCATTCATCGATGAAGTTTGACAATTATTCGGACTATTATTATTGACTCGGTACATAGACAAGTTTTGTGTTTTTTTTTTATAGAAAAATTTCCATTCAATCATCCGTCGTTTGTTTTGCCGATTTTGATCGGATATTAGAACGAGAGAAAATCAATGTATTCATTAAAAAACAAAAAATGTTGCATTCTTCTATACTTCATAGTGGTTTGTAGATTGAATATAGTTTGATGAAGTAAAATCATGAAATTCTCGGAAAGATCTCTTTTTCTAGAGATCCTTATTCTAAAAATAATTATTAATGCAAGTAAGAAAATTTTTTTTTCAGCTGATTTATTTTTACAGATTCGTTTTATGTATTATGTTTAACAATAGAACTCAAATATAGAAATGTGTTAAAGTTTTTTTTTTTTTGTTCGCCTCTATTTGAGAATTATTTTGTTTTATTCTATCAGTCAAATAATTAAGTTAGTACTTTTAAAATATTCAAAGAAAATGAGACATAATTCACAAAAATTTGTATATGTTCTATATTCTATGTAAGAAAATTAACACAGCAAACTTAAAATAATTACCTAAGTTTCAATGAAATTTCTCTAGAAAATTCATCATTTAATCTAAAAGATGACGTTCTAATCAAGTATTACGGGAAAAAATGTCAAAATAATTTTTAGAAAAGCTTTCAAATCATACATCTTGTCATTCTGTTGTCCTTGAGCATAATAAAATTCATTCAACATCTCGTAGAATTTTTTTGTTTCTATCGTGTTCAACAAACTTAATTAGAATTTTATATATTCATTTTAGAAGTCTTCTAGTGATTATTTAATCATTTCGAATACGATGAATGTATACAGAAATGCTTTTTTTTTATTTTTAGAATTTATTTTGTATTTTTAATAAATGTCAATACAATAGAAAACATAATCAATAATTTTAGAAAGATTCATAAATTTTTTTTACTTATATTGACTTGAATTTACTCTAAATTTAGAAGTCAAAAGGTAGCTCTTATAATACAATAGTTAATCATACATCGCCATTTCCGAATAAAGTCTACCCAAATGAGACGATATAGAGCAGTAAGTAAAAATAACATAAAAAGTAGAAAATATGTCAGATAGTAAAATAGAGTCACTCAAACCAAGGAAACGTACATTGTTCAGTCATGACATTAAATTCATATAAAAGTCTAAATATTAAGTTTAACATTTATAAGAATAATTTTAATTTATTCTTGAATATATTTTAACATTAATTATAGAAATTTGTTATGCTGTCAAGAGTGTGTACCCAAATGAAAAAAAAAAAAAAAACAGAATAAAAGAAAATAATTTTCCCCAGACTGTCATGTTTTCATCAATATGTGACATTGTTTCTTTTTCTTCTTTCTGGTAATTAAAGTTATTGTTGTTTACTGATATTTACCGGAGATTTTTTTTTTTTTTCTTTGTCCTTGAACGAAGCATATATCATGCCATACATTTGCTTACATTCTCTTAGAACTAGTCATGATTCTATAATTATAGGTAAGTTTTTTGTATGTAAACTTCAAGGTTTTGATTTTCTATAAATTTTATTATTGTTTGTTTTGAATCAAGCAATAAAATAGAATTAAAGAAGTAATTAAAAGTTGAAATAAAAATTTTCGAATTGGTTTCTTTTTTTTTTGTCGGTTATCATCCTACAATTGTTTTTGAATTCGATTGATGATTGTTTGTATGATATTTACTGTTATTTTGTCTTTTTTTTATCTGCGTAATTATGATAAAAAGAAATGATCGTTTGTTTTTT